CCCGCCTCGCCTCACCCCCCGCCTCCCCCACTCCTCTCGTACTTCTTCCGCATGTTATGAATTATAGCCCAGTTAAACTCACCCACACATACACATTATATATATACAGTACACACACACACACACACACTGTAGGTGTTTAACTACGTTCTCATATTGAAGGTTCTGACAGCAGGAAAACACACACACACACACTCTTACGGAGACTGTTGTGGTTTTTGCCTGATTGTTTGTCCAGAAGGGGGCGATGTACTGATGAATATTTAAAAAAACGTATAACACCATTTTGGCCTAGTGATTGCATAGAGCATGCCACTTTTCCCTTCCTCCCTGTAGGGGGCGCTATATTGGCAGCAATTTCTATAGTTAAACGTACTGAAAAATGGCCGTGGATTGTAAACACCTTCAACGATGTCATGTCAAACTGTTCAAACTACTGTACGTCCCATGACATCATCATCATCATCATCATCATCTTCAAAAACTGCACAGCTACTTTATTTTTTTTTGCTACATTAGTTACTTTCAGTTACAATTGAATGTAAAAATGTATTAAAGTTGTATTTATTTAAGCCAAGAACAAAAAGTTTTAAATTAATAACCTCCAATCGTCAGTCTAACCCAAAGCTCAGATGCTAGCTAGCTAGCTAGCTGCTAATGTTGTTCTATAACGCTCACACCTTCTTGCCTTTCCCTTACGTTTTTTGTTTTTGTTTTAATAAGCTTAGCATCCTCTTACTTCCATTACTGCCACCTGCTGGATGTATTTAATGTATATTTTGGCAAACATGCTCCCAGTGAAGCATAGAGTCTGATACTGTATGTTATTATAGTAGTAGTACCACAGCCCGCCACCAGGGAAGATTCCAAAATCCCTTTAGTTCCTATTGACGTCTGTTAAAAAAAAAAAGTGAAAATTGAGTTTAACTGAATCCAATTTAGTTTAATTTTTGAGCCAAAGAAAAGAAGGAAATGTGACGGTTGGCAGTTTGGACCAATCACTGATCTCCTGAAGAACTCTCTAGATCATCACTGCTGGATCCCGAGTCACTGACGTCTGTGTGAAGGTTTAATCGCAGTAGTGTGTTCTTTTTTTTAAAGGATCATTAGGGGCTTTTTTTTCCCTGAAATATTTGCAAAAAACTCACCAGCTTTAAATGTGTCATCCTCACTGACAAACCGGCCAAAAACACACACTTCTGGTCGTCCATTAACAGTGACTGGGAGGATTACTTTTGTCGCTTTTTATGACTTCTTTTTTTTACTACTCCACCATCAGGTTTTGATGGATGAGAAAAGAGGAAACATTGACTGCTCCACATGGCAACATTTAGCCTAGCAGACATCCGCAAACACCCAACCTGTCGTCCAGTACCGCCTGTGGGGGAGGGAGGGAGGGAGGAGAGTGAGACAGACGCACGATGAGATAGTGGAGCAGCAGCAGCAGCAGCAGCAGCAGCAGCAGCAGCAGTGTTATCACATCTCTGTCATCTCCAGTCAAATGAAAAGACAGACCCTGGACTCCGTGGCCAGGTTTGGCATCGGAATGAAAGGAGAAAACGTTGGACAGTGAGAGAGGCCAGAGTGGAGAAAACAGACAGTCAGACAGTAGCCTGGATTAGTCTGGGACTTTGGCAGAGCTAGTCCAGGACTGGGGGTGAGAGAGAGAGAGAGAGAGGGAGAGACTGTAAAATGGATCCAATGCCTGGCGCCTGTTCTGGGCCGGTCACACAGATCCACAGACCAGAGGAGCTGCCTGGTCTGGAGTGGCTCACCCATATGGTGCTCTGCTCCCTCTCTGAATCCATATGCTGCTGCTGCTGCTGCTGCTGCTGGTGGTGGTGGTGGTGGAAACCTGCCCCCCACCCCTCTCCCACCTTGCTTAAAGACTATGCAGAACCTGGCCACTGCCCATATTCCCCAAACACACAGGGGAGGTGTTTGGGAGGTAAAGCCCTGAAGGCTTGCCCCCCCATTCTTACCTCTTAACCCCTCAGAGCTGCTTAGCCCATTGTCATCACAATCTGCCACCATAGCCTGGGTGTTGTATGCCCCCCCCCTCCCCTCCCCACCTCCCTCCCTCTCTCTCTCTCTGTTCCTTTCTTCCTTCCTCTCTCTTCCTTCATCTCCTCTTGGCACCCGATAATCAATGAACTTATTAACTGCTAATTATTCAAGCTGTGGAGCGAGGATCCCTCCCCAGCCCTTTCCACACTCCGGTCCACCAAATGAAGTGGTTTACACCAGCCCATTCATTTGGATTAAGTGCGTTTAGGCTGCAGTGTTTAGGATGTGAAGCCTTTGTCAGATTGCTATCAGCAGCGTTGAACATTAATCCTCGTTCTGTTCTGCCGTCTGAGAGCAGGCACTCGCTGGAAGCCCCAGAGATTTTTATATTGAAACTGGGAGCTTGTTGTTTGTTTTTTATTGTGATATAAGTTTCTCTAAAACGCTCTCTCTCTCTCTCTCTCTGCCCCCCCCTCTCTCTCTGTGTGTGTGTGTGTGTGTGTGTGTCTCTGTTCTGGTTTCTCAGGAGGTCCTTCAGACGATACCAAAGTTCTGCTTTCCCTTTGACGTGGAAAGGTAACGATTCCTCTCTGTCTTTTGCTTCTGTTTTTTTTTTTTTTTTTTTTTAAGAACTGCGTTTCACTTTCACCTTCCTCACACACACACACACACACTCTTACACACACTTACGTGAACGAAATTATGTTCACTTAGCTCTCCTCCCACTGACAGACGGGGATGAATCTAAAGAGAGAGAGAGACAAAACGAACCATTCAGTGTGTTTTGTTACATGAACGGCTAAATTACCTTCACTTATTGACACTTGTCTCATTAAAAAAAAACACGGAATGTACCGATTAAAAGTGACTTTTCTGCCTCTCCGTCCCAGCACCACATCCAAAAGCCTAAAAAACTCCCAACAAAATGTAATGTTCTGTTGTGACTGGACAAACTTTAGATCCCGATGTTCAGTCCACTGTTGGAAATCGTAGGTGTGGATTTTTCCCCCAGTCCACGGCTCTTATTTGCAGCATGGAAAATGACATGTTAAAATTCCCATTGTAAAAACCCGGGGGCTGGAGGAGGTGGAACAGAAGGACTGTACTTGGATATGGGACTTTTACCAAAGCTGAGCTGCTGCCATCTAGTGGTACAGATGTGCCCCGAGTTTCTCAGCCACTCACATTTGGGGTTTGAAACGGTTTCTACAGTGGGGGTTTTTTTTTTGTGTGTTTTTTTTTTTTTTTTTCAAACAGTATATATGTGAAATGTTTGACTGGAGATTAAGACCGTGGTGAGACAGGACTGTTGGTCAAATCTGCATATGTTCTGTCAACGCTGCAGCACAATTAGGTTCTTTTTTTATATATATATTTAAATGTGCAGGATATGGAAGACCTGTTTCTGTAACTGATTGTACTGTGATTTATTATATATATATATAAATATATACATATATATTTATATATATACCATTAGTCCCTGATGTGATCTGCTAACGTGAGTGTGTTCTCATATCTGTTTGCAGAGTTAACCAGAGTCAGGTGGGCCAGAATTTTACCTTTGTGCTCACTGACATCGACAGCAAGCAGAGGTTTGGCTTTTGTCGACTCACTCAAGGCTGTCGGGTCTGCATATGTCTCCTCAGGTAACGCACGCACACACACACGAACACACACACACACGTATACACCTTACATGGTTACATTTGTTGTACTAATAATCAGCTCTTTCATGTCAGAACTCTGAGGGACGTGTTTTAAAAAAACAACTATTTAATTTAACTGCAGTTCTAACATGGATCAGAATATTTATTTTTTAGTCTTAACATAGTTACGGATCTTTAAATAGCATCTTTTTGAAAATCAAGACATCTTAAAGCTTGATGCACGTCACACATTCTGTCGTTAAAAAAAAAGTTCATTAGAATTAGAATATGTGACGTTTTTTAATACTTCAAAATACACAGATTTTCTCTGCTCTACATTTTTATAGATCTTAAAAAACAGTTTTTCTCCATTGATTTGTCAAATAATCATCCACTTATCAAAGACTATATTGATTAGCACCATTTGAAATAGTTTCCCGATAGTTTTGTGTTGAGTTTTAATGAAAATCAAAAACTTGGATTTTTATCTGTTAATTGAAAAATAATTTGTTTCTTAGCATTTTTGTTCCAGTTAGTTAGGCGACTAATCAAAAAGAATCCGATTAATTAACTTAAAAATATCCTGAATCAATGAGCGCTCGTTTCAGTGTGTAATATTTTAGAGGGAATCATTCAGACCAGCTCTTTAAAGGTATTTTAAATATATATATATATATATTTTTTTTTTGAGACAACAAACCCATTGATTCTCACACTTTACACTGAGCTGCTCTCTGCCAGAACAACACATTTATATTCTCATCTGCCCACACACAAATATGTTAGCGATGTGCCTATAATTACCCAAAAGTTGAGCCTTTTTTTTTTTTTTTTTTTTTTTTTGATATTCCATCGGTGCATTTGTCATATCACAGGGGCCCATAGTGGAGGCTCTGGAAGAGCACGCCTTTTCTTCACATAATTACTCATTGACTGGGGCTATTATCATTTAATTACCGTGTAATTTCAGGTTGACACAATATTTTTACAGATATAATTAAATTAAAAAGAAAAAAAATATATATATATATACAGATAAAGGAGCAATCCAGTGTTAATCTCAGCGTCCAGGCCTGTTTGCTCTGGAATAAAGAGGGAGAAAATAGGGAATAAAGCATTTTTAATGACTGTATTAAACAGTGTCATAAACAACTGGAAAAGCAGCACAAAGGCTTCTCCTTTACGTGTAAAGCAGCAGCAGCGCTCCTGTAAATGATGCTGCTCTCAGTGTGTGTACGTGTGTGTGTGTGTGTGTACTGGGCTGTTGATGGGCAGTCGTGGGTTTGTTGCTGCCCTGATGAGCTGTTGTGGTGAACAGTGTCCCTCCCTCCCCTCTCCACCCACCCTCCCCCGGCCAGCTTCCGTGGCCTTTGTGTTTCTTTTCTTTCTCTCTCCTACTCTCCTTTTCTCTCCCTCTCCCTCTCTCTCTCTCCCTCTCTCTCCTCCTCGTTATTCTGCCACTGCCACGGTGCGACAGCAAAGACGCTCGGCCCATAATTATGCATGAAGCTTTGCTGCCAATTAGCAGCGGCTCCCCTGTCCTCTCTGGCTGAGTTAGACATGCTAATTCATTTGACATATGATGTATAAAACTCATTATGCATTCTGAGTAGTTTGCATGACTTGCTTCGTTTATGATAGAATAATGTATGGAAAGTTGTTTTTTTTTTTCTTACCTCTAATTTGAATTTGTTTTGTTTACAGTTAAACATGTTTCAATTCTTTTCCTTTTTTCAATTTTCTTTTTTATATATATATATATTTTACAAGATTTTGTTCACACTCGTTTTTTTTTTTTTTTTACCTGAAATGGCCTTTAGTGTTTAACACTCATGTTATTAATAGATATTTCACTTAGCAGATTTAGATGTTTTTTTTTTTTTTGCTTTTTGCAGATTTTCTTTTTTTAATGTTTGTTCATTTGAAGATATCAGACAAAACCAGGAATGAACAACATATGAAGTCTTTTTTTTAAACACTGATTTTATCATCTGTGTTTTACTGTGAGTTCAGGCCCATAGAGCTGAGACTTTTTTTTTTTTTTTTTTTTCCAAATCAGTGTCAGAATTTTACCTGCATTCTCTCAATTCTGACTTGTCTTATTTTGGGCACAGACGTTTGAAATTAGATCAATTTACGCTGCAGCTCAGATTCTCATTTGAGTCACAGAATTCTGGAGTCATGCACTTGTTAGAGGATTCTGACACGAGTCACATATTTATGACAAAAATGAACGACTTTAAGAGAAATGTCTGGATTTTGACCTCATTCTTGGAATTCTGACTAGACTCTGAAATTCCAGCTACAGTGTTTTTAGACGGTGATATTAAAACACTGTTTATTCTTAGATTTTTGACAACTCAAGTTTAAGAATGATGTTTGAAATGTGATTAATTCATGTGATTAATATGAGAATTCTGACTTTATTCTGACGAGAAAAACTCTTATTTATGTATGTATATACATATATGCATATATATATTTATATATATATATATACAATATATATATATATATTTTACATATATATATAAATTATGTGTGAAATGGAATTTGCTGTTTTCAGAGACATAATTAAGTCCTAGAAAAAAAGATTGCTTTATTAATTATATATATTTTTGGCCATGATCCTCTGCTCTGGTTAATATTTAATAAATGTCAGTTAAATTTCTCTGCTTCTAATCTGCCGTGTAAACACGCAGGTTAAATCACTTTTAGACTTTTAATAATTTCCCCTGGATTTGAAGGTAAAATTAATTAAAGCAGTTGCCTGTGTGTGTGTGTGAGTGTGTGTGTGTGTGTGCGATGGCTGAAGTTCTGGGACTATAAAATTGTCACCTCTCCTTACAGGAGGAAGTGCCTTAATGAGGAGGACAGTTTTATGTGTACAGTCCTTTATGGTCTCGGTGCTGACGCCGCGGCCAAATGAAACACAGGGAGAAAAAAAAAAATAAAAAAAATACACACATGCAGACAGGAACATTTAATTACACCGAATCCTTGGGTTTTTGTTCTGTTACGCCCCCTGCTGTATCCTCCTCCGTCTTTATCTTCCACACTGTAAAAGATCTGTGTGTGGAGCCCGTGTCAGGTTGGGAGATAAAACGTCCCCAGTTCTTATTTAACAGCCGAGGTCGAAGGAGACGTTTTAGAGGCCGCGTTGCTCTGGTTAGTGGTCACTCGCTGGCTGCCAGATGACTCTTCCTTTCATCTACTTAACCTCTGACCCCTGAAGGTAAACGTGCGATAAAATGGTTCCACTGAGCCGTCCACCAAGACTTATGATTACAGGCGCCTGTGCATTAAGGGGAAATTTAAAACTCATCCCAGGAACATGAATAAATGTCACGGCTAACACTTAAGCAGTTCTTTATAGCAAACAGAGGCAGGAATTACTGCTGCGGAGTAAAAGTTTGATCAAATTACCCAGAGCTGAGGTTTATAGACATGATACATCAGTGTTAGTGTCCACACGGCTTTACTTCACCACAGAGTTTACAGAGCAGACGCTCAGGCTGTGGTTCATGTACCTATAGGTGCTTTAGCTTCAGTACAGTACAGTACAGTACAGTTCTCAATGTACTCACCGGGCCTTAATGAGAGAGAAAAAAAATAAAAATCCAGTAGAGGAAGTGTAACAGTCTCTCCTCCTGTCAGGTTCAGGCTGTAAAATGTTATTTATTTAACCTATACATATAATATACTGGAATTTTTTGTTAGCGTTTGTCAACACGTGGCATGTAACTTGCACCTCCTCACCTGTAGAGGGTGCTATGAAACGACCGCATCGGTTTATAAATCCTAGTACAGTTTTGTTTTTTTAATTATTATGAATTCATTCCACAAACTCACCTTATACTTAAAAGTGTGTTACTGCGTCAAACGAGTTAATTTAGTTGTTGAGGTTAGCATTAGCTACTGGGTATAAAACTACGACTCCAGTGGTTAAGAAAAACTGCACAGATATTTCTGCGTGTTGCTGAGTCATAGTAATCGTTCTATAAATCTCTCATATACATTTGCTGTATTTAATATTATTATAACATCGACTAAAATCATGTTGTTTTTTTAAAGACAACTATCGTTTATTCAGGGTTGTTTCTATGAAAATTGTTTGTTTCTATTTCTCCTCTGACCTGATCCCGTCCCTCCCCCAAACATTTGATTATTTTTTAGTCTTTCATCCATGATTCCATATTTTTATTTCCTTAGAAAAATGACTGTTTACTTTTTTTTTTTTAATGTAAACTGTTGTTTCCTCCTCCCTGCTTCATAGACGTTATATCTTGGATATCTTTGTTTTTTTTCCTAAGTTCGTCAGAGTGCGTTAGAACCCTGGTTCCTGACTGACAGGAGTCAGGGTTACTGTGGTTGGACTTCTTTGAGTTAATTCATCTGCATTAAGTCTGTGTTTTTACTCCCGTTAGTGACTGTGAGTTGTTGAAGAAGCGTCTTTCCTGTTGTGCTGGACGCTGTGAGTGGTCCACAGATTAACTTCTTCATTCTTTGAATACACGGCACGTTGAGAAGGCTTGTTTAAACCGGCGGGAGATACGGAGGGACCCCCCCC